TTTTTTTTTTTTTTTTTTTTTTAACGAGGGGAAATCTTCGAAAGACGCCCCCACTCCCCGGGGGAGGAGCGGGGGTAGTGTGGGGTTCGTGCCCACTAAAACCCCTCGGTGATGCCCACCCTCGGCGGCATGGCGGGCCATGGGGTCGTGCCATATTCGTCGCCACGGCCCGCCAAATTCTTATTGGATCTAAGATTCAATCTCGACATTTTTTAAGCTTCATTCAAAGATCGTTCTGAAAACTCTATGCATCAGGCGTCGGCTTGTAGACAAAAATTGTAAAAAATTCGTGTTTCCGACCTGCCCCTCACTTAAAACTTTTTTCTCATATTCTACATATAATAAAGCATCATTTAAGCAAAAAAAAAAAAAAAAAAAAAAATCGACTTTTTCAAAATTCTAGAGTGGCGTTACCCCTTAATATTACTTTTTACCCGGTGAATGCATTTTTTTACAAATTATCATATGTAAGTAGTTAATGCTATTTTCTACCAACGTTGAAAGCCATGTACTGCTATACATTGTTATAGCAAATAATCATCGAATGGTACATTAAAAACATGATGCAGATTATTATCAATAGATAATCACCATGAAATAATTTGTCTCTGAAAATCATTTAACTTTTATCTATAATTCTTTTTTATATCATGAATATTATGGAAAATATTTAAGTAGTTTGATTTAAAAAATAGACAATGGTTATATATGAGTTATATTTATAGTTATATGCAGAAAAACATCGGTGAATTTGAAAATTACGGAAAAAATATTTTTGTAACATATTAATTCTTTGCTACTATTTAAATAGCATATACTTAAAATATTAAGAAAAATTTTAACAGATGTTTAGATTGCTTTATTTAAATTAATTGTTCTATGTAGTATTGATCCGAAGATGTAATTTGTCTTTTCAAACTCGGTGAAAACTCGGCTATTAATAAGTAATTCGTGATGAAAGAACAAAATTTTGTATGAAGACCTGCGCTCAATTGAGAACAAAGAAAGTATTTAGAAAAAAAAAATATATAAATTTGAACAAAATTCGGACGAAGTGAGTCGTTATAGTAAGAAATCTGTGCCACTCTTGAATTGTGTGGAAAAGGATCGTACTATGAACATAAAAATTGCAAACGTTTTATTGAAAAGTGTTGGTTGATGAAGGCCTGTTCTTGAAAGGATTGATTACGTTAGATGCTAGAAAATGTAACGTCCCCGGGAACATCACATTGAATCCTGTCGATAAATAAAAAAACATGCTAATGCGTATACCTTTTTCTATTCTATTACCGACCGCAAATTACCGACTGCACCATAAAAATTCGCGTGGTAATGGGATGGGGTAGCTCACGCGTGCAACATTGTTTAGAGTAGATCACCGATCGATGGCGCGCGCGTTAGTTAGAAAGAGACAGGAGATATACTTCGAAACAAAGTAATTATAAATTATTATTTAAATGTTTATATTATATATATTATTAATTATTCACTCATTATAAATTGCGTTATATTTTTAGCTATTATTTTATACATTGTTTGCGATTAATTATTTCTTCTATTGAAACACTTATAATTTACGTATCAAAAATTATTAAAAATACGATTTAACGGGAAAACTTGTGAGAAACTAATT